AGGGTTTGATCCCTGTTCCAGCCAATGCCTAAAAAAAAAGGAAGGAATAGACCTTGATGTATTGTAGGTGCTCCAAGAGTCTGCTTTTGCAGGTATGCTGGGCTTCAGGTGGTTGCTCCAGCTGTGGTGGTATGAACAAGTTGCTGCTGGGTGCTAGTGTTCTAGCTAGGCCTGTTGGGCCTCTTTCTTGCACAGAGTGCGTAGAGGTGGTGCCTGCTGGGGCCTCCTGACTCTGCCTTGGTTCTCAGGCATCTTCCCTGAGGATGACATTCCTGAAGAAGCCTACGGGAGTCTGCATGGAGGGCGGCCGGAGAGGAGGATGAAGAAGCGTTTGTCTAAGTCGCGGTTGCAGAAGAAAGGTAGGGCTGCAGGATTTATTCACTGTCAGGGGCTTTCTTCCCTTGCTCATCTGTCTCCCTTGCTCAAAGTCACCTGGGAGGTCTCTCCTCAAGGCTTTCCTGCAAGTTCCCCGTCCCAAGTGACCACCATCCAGGTATCCTGGAGATGCCCTGTCCACATGTCCTGGAGATGCCCTGCATGGTCACAGCCTCAGGACTTCCGGCCTGTCGATCACTCCCGCCTCCCCTCTTTCCTTACGCAAGGCACCTGCTGTCTGCGCACTGTCCTCTGGGCGGCCTCTCCTGACCTTCATCTTTGGTTTGCATCCCGTCCACTCCTCTTCCACATCCTCCAGAGTTCCCAGTCCTGCTACTCCTCCTTGATTTCAGGGGCTGTCCTTCTGCTCAGCCTCGGTGGCCACACGAGTGTGGTTGGCACGTGACACCCTTGCTGAGGGCTGCCCTGGGCCTGCTGCCTGCAGTGGAGCTGGGCTGTGTACATGGTGCCAGGCAGGGTGCTGGGGCGCTGGGGCTGGAACCGGGTGCAGAAGAGGGAGACAGTGGATCTGCCCCAAGCTGAGACACCTTCCACCCCACCTGTGCTAAACCAGCCCCCGTTCCCGAGGATCCACCCTTCGCAGGGCCGCCAGATCCACCCCTTTCCTCCAGCCCAGGCCACCCATGCCGTGGAGGCTTGAGCACATCATTTCCCACCTGGCCCTGGAAGCAGGCGCCAGACCACCTCAGCCTGGCACGTGCACCCACATGAACGCTGTCTTCGTGGCTCTCTTGCACAGGAAGTAGAGTTAGGCCTGCTGGCCCTCTGGCCAGGGTCACCTCCTTCAACCTCCCTACCCTCAGCCAGCCTGGTACTGCTTGCTTCCTCTTTCCTGCCTTTGCTCCTCACCCCACAATGCTCCAGGTGTGTACCATGCTGGTCTTGCTGAAGGCCCAAATTCCCTGGTCAGCCTTCCCTGGTGTCATGAGCCAGCATAGGTGGTCCTGGAGCTTGACGTCCACACTGGATTTGGGTCCCCTGATTGGCTGAACCCCCAGTGCTGGCACTTTTGGTTACAGAATTGAGGTGACTGGATTGGCATGTATGTTCGTGACATTTAGTTCAAGCCGACTTGTTCTCTTGCCAGGGAAGATTGACGAGGATGCAAGTCCTGACCCAAGCTCAGAAACCAAAAGGAAGAGGAGCCGGAGGAGGGGTGCAGGGGCAGTCCCCGCAGTGCAGCTGGGCAGAGTGGAGGGTGTCCCACCCCAAGGGCAGCCCAGGGGCTGCGGCCAGAGAGCAGCTCGCAAGAGGAGGAGGAAGCCTCGGCAGCCAGCTGGTGCCAGGGCAAAGGTGGCCGATGTCCAGGAGTCAGAGAAGAAGAAGTGGTCCCTGGAGGGCAGGAAGTGACGCGGCCAGTCGGGCCAGGCAAGGAGCAAGGGCTGCTGCTGGCTGCTCCTTGTCTGCACCGAGTCAAACAAGGGACAGGATCATCGGGCGTGCCCCCACTAGACTGAACGTTGACGTGACGCGGCCAGTCGGGCCAGGCAAGGAGCAAGGGCTGCTGCTGGCTGCTCCTTGTCTGCACTGAGTCAAACAAGGGACAGGATCATCGGGCGTGCCCCCACTAGACTGAACGTTGACGGCTCCTTAACCCACTGCGTCAGGAAAGAGCTGAGGGACAGAGAGGGTGGACTTTCCCTTAGTGCCAGCGTCCTAGAGAACACTCCTTCCCCACAGCTACCACCTGCAGCTGTGATGACCTTGGGTCAGAAAATCCACCTTAGGAGACTTAGAACTCTACCTGCCCCAAGGACAGTCACCTATGCCATGGGGCATCCATCAAATAAAATTCTGTGAGTCCTTCCAAAAGAAGTGTTGCGTCTGACATGTGTATCAGGCACATTTCCTGAATGTGAAGTGACAGTGCACGCTCTACTGCAGTGTTGGTGTTTTATGTCTGTTTTGTGGGGGAAAAATCTGTTCACACATGAAAGAGAATAATTCTGTGAGTCCTTCCAAAAGAAGTGTTGCGTCTGACATGTGTATCAGGCACATTTCCTGGATGTGAAGTGACAGTGCACGCTCTACTGCAGTGTTGGTGTTTTATGTCTGTTTTGTGGGGGAAAAATCTGTTCACACATGAAAGAGAAGTCTCAAAGAAGAGCCACCAGGGTGTTATTGGGCTGTGTGATGGACCCCTTTAGTTTCCACTTCGTACGCTTCTGTCTTGGGTGTTACTGCAAGTTTATACTTTGTGCAAAGCTGCCTGTTGCTTATGGCGTGTGCATCTGGGTTAGACAGGTCTGGCTGTGGCTGCCTCTCATCCTCAGTGGCGTGGAGGCAGGATCAGATCCGACATCTGGGTGGGCAGCTGCTGCTCTGTGTGCCTGGCACACCTCCCCTCTCAGCTCGTGTAATCCACCCAACCCTGCACTCACCTGGGAGGTCCGAGCTAGCAGCACCCTTGGGATCCCATGAGGGAGGCAGCAGGTTCCCACTATGGAGGCAGAGAGGTGCAGGCTCCTGTCAGTGTGGAGTGAGGAAGTGTGACCTGGCCTCCCATGAACTCCCAGGGGCTTGTGTTAAAAGTTGGCATCATTTTTATTTCCCTGTATAAGCAGGCTCATGGGATACAATTCACCCGTTTAAAGTGTATAGTCTCAGAGTTTTTAGTATATTCACAGAGTCGTGCAGCTGTAACCACCGTCAATTTCAGAACTTCTTCACCCCAAAAGAAACCTGGTATCTTTTAGCTGTCACCCCCCTCAAACCCTCACCCTGGACCCCATCCTGGCAATCACTAATTTGCTTTCTGTTTCTGTGGACCTGCCTGTTCTGAGGGCATATGTCAGAACTTCGTTATTTTTATGGTTGAATAATCCATTGTGTGGGTAGACCACATTTCATCTGTCCATGTGTCCACTGGTGGACATGAGGGTGGTGTCCACCTTTTAGCTGTTAAGGAATTTTGCTGCTATAGATGTACAAGTTTTGTGTGGTTGTACGTTTTCATTTCTCTTTGGTTAGATGCCTCAGAGCGGAATTGTGGGTCTTGTGGTAACTGTTTAATTGTCTGAAGAACTGCCAGACTGTTCTCCACAGTGGCTGCTCCATCTTATGTTCTGGCCCAGGGCGGGCCCCTGTCCGGCTGCGGTCCTGCACGTGGGCAGCTTCAGGGGAGCGCTTGCTGCTGTTGCTTCACCCGCAAGCCTGGGATGTGGCCACCTCCCTGTAGGCGCTCTGCAGTGGGAGTGGGTCGTGAGGACCCAGCGATGCCCTCTGCTCAGAGCTGCGGGGAGCCGCGGAGCCCCTGCGCCAGGGCGGCTTGCGCCGAGGGGGGCCCTCCCTGGCCTTGCCACACTGCCCTGCCTGCTGCCTCCTTCCCCTCAGGCCAGGCAGTCAGTCCCAGGAGGTGGCTCTTCTCAGGAGACTTGGCTCAGCCACTCCCTCAGTGTGTGACCTCGGGCAGGAAACAACTGCCCTGAGCCTTCATTTACCCACCTGTAAAATGGGAATAACGCAGAGGGCTGTGATGAGGATTGTGTTGTTTTTTGCACCCCCCACGAAATCCCAAACTCGCAAATACAAAAAGCCTTCCCCCACAAACCGTTTGAGAGCACGTGGTGACCTGGTGCCCCATTAGCATGCATTTCCTACCACAGAGACACTCTTCACCACATTGCAACCATGGGCTGCTGTCTGACCCTCAGGCCCACAGCGTCCTTACAGGACCCCACTCAGAGTCACTTGTCCTTTCCCCAGAGAGCAACGGTTCCTTTGAGTGGAGGGTAGTGTTTAGAAACCAAGATCTCAGACTGGCTGGTTAGCTCAGTCGGCTAGAGAATGATGCTGATGAACACCAGGATCCAGGGTTTGATCCCTGGAACAGCCTGCAGCCAAAAAAAAACCAAGTGTGGCCAGGCCATTGCTGTTCAGGCAGTCTTAGTTGACAGAGCTAGGGAGATGGAGATATGTGTGCATGTCCACAGAAACATGTACATTTATGTCTGCCTGTCTGCCCGGTCTACCTGTCATCATTCGTCCATCCTTCCATCTGTCCATTGATCCATCGAATTGGGGTTCTCCACAGAAGCAGAACTAGGATGTGTATCAGTCTGCTCAGGTTGTCATTACAAAGTACCACAAACTGAGCAGATTAAACAAAACTATTTTCTCAATTCTGGAGGCCACGATTCTGAGGTCACAGTGTTGTCAAGCTTGGCTTCTCCTGGGGCTTCTCTCCTTTGCTCATAGATGGCCACCTTCTCACTATGTCCTCATGGCCTTTTCTCTGTGCTCTCTTGGGTCTCCTCTTGTAAGGACACCAGTCCAGTTGGATCTGGGCCTCACCCTTATGACCTTATTTAACCTTAATGACCTTCTTATAGGCCCCATCTCCAAATACAGTCCTACTGGGGGTTAGGGCTTCAACATGAATTTTGGAGGACACAACCCGGTCCATAACAGATGTGTGTGTGTGTATATATATGGGGGTGGGGGGTGGGAGAGTTATTCATTTTAAGGAATTGGCTTATGTGATTGTGGGGCTGGCAAGTCTGATATCTGCAGGACAGACCGCTGGCTAGAGACCCACGGAAGAGACTGTCTGGGGCAGAATTCCTTCTTCCTCGGGGACCTCAATCTTTTCTCTTTAAGACCTTCAGCTGATCAGATGAGGCCCACCCACGCCATGGAGGGTCATCTGCTTTACCCAGAGTCTACAGATTTATATATTAATCTCACCTAAAAATACCTTCACAGAAACATCTGGGTGTTTGGCCAGAAACTGGGTACTGTGGCCTGGCCAAGCTGTCACTTAAATATACCATCACCCTGTCTTTCATCTACCACCTGTCCGCCCTCCCTCTCACATTGTGTGTTTCCCCCATGTGGAGGGGGGCTGCCTGCCGTCATCCAATTGCATTCTCGTTTCCTCCCTTTGCAGTAGGAAGCTGGCTTCCAATACCCCAGTGTGTACCTCGTGTATGACTCAGACCTGCATGGGCGCTGTGCCCTTGCCTGCATAGGTGCCTTCCTCGCCTGGCCTGGGCCACTGTGGCCGCCACCCCCACGGCACAGCTCCCCCCTTGTTGGCTCTGTCTGAGGCTCCCCTGGGTGTGCGGGAGGTACCCTGGATGGTCTTCCTCTCTCCTGCCCTGTCCCCGCTGTGTTGGCATGGCTTTGCAGTGAGAGCAAGATCCCCAGCAAGTCAGAGGCAGGACTGGGAAGGGGCAGCCCCTCCATGTGAAGCTCACAAGAAGCAACATATACACACAAAGAGAGACAGCCTGGAGACTTGCCTGTCATGGAGATCCTAGTGACCAATGCTGCAGCTTGGCCTGAAGCCCTACTAGAGACCCTCGGCAGCTCCGAGTCAGTCCACCAGCACAGGCAGCAGGGCTCTGCCCCGGGCGCACATGCCATGGGGACACTGTGGGGGGCAGGAGGGTCTGCTAGGGCCCCCTAGTCCTGTTTTTAAAAAACAACTTTAGGGCCGGCCCGGTGACGCACTCAGTAGAGTGCGGTGCTTGGGAGCGTGGCGGCTCTCCCGCTGAGGGTTCAGATCCCATTTAGAGACCGGTCCACTCACTGGTTGAGCGCAGTGCGGGCACGACACCGAGGGTTGCGATCCCATTGCTGGTCACGAAAAAAGACAAAAAGGAAAAAAAAAAAAACTTTAATGAGATACAGTTCATATGCCATTTAATTAGATATTCACAGGGCTGTGCAGGCATCACCACAGTCCATTTTAGAACATTTTCATTACCCCCAAAAGGAACCCCAAGCTCAGGGCCCCCTTCCTCTTGCACAGATTTGGGGAGAAAGCCTGAGTGAGGAACCCGCTTGAGGTCGTGGTGGGTTATGTGGAATATACTATAAAGCAAATGTACTTCACAGGGCCTGGTGTTCCAAAGCCTTGCAGTTTCAAATATTGACCTTGCAAGGACAGGAAATTTTCCCCAGGCTAGTGAGTCTCTGTTGCAAGATAAGATTTGTGGCACAGCAAGGTTGCTGGCTCAAGGACAGACTAGTTACTGATTATTATGTAAAGATAAGGAGAAATTGTTGTAAGATCACTTAATTGTCTACTGGGATGTCATCTGGCTTGTTTCACTGAAAGTTACCAGCCTATACTGTTAAACTATAACCCCACCTATGTCTCTTCCTGTAACTTCCTGGTCTAGGAAATAAATGCAGGAAGAGAACCCCAATTTGGCATTAATTTCCTGGGGAAGGGATCCCTCTCACTGGAGGGTCCCAGGGAAGTTAACAGCTTCAGGGCTTCTCACTGCTCAGAAGAGATGGGCTTTGAGTAATCCTTTGTGTCTCCATTACCCAGGGGAAGTGGGGTGACAAATCCGTGGGGGGCAAAGCAGCACAAAGCAACAGGGTTACTGGTCACAAGGCTGACATGTTTCCTTAAGTGACTAAGGGTCCAGAACAGATGGGCTGTCTCAAGTGACTTAAGATGGGTGTTCCTGGCTTTGCAGTTGCCACAGACTGCATAGAGGGGATG